TTTTTGACCATAAAGAGCCAAAATGAAGAAAAGCTTCCGTCTGCCATCCTCTATGATTTGATTACACAGATAGATACCCTAAAACAAAAGAATTACTACCTTATGTGCCATTTGTTTTGAATTTGACACATTGAATTTACATATCTTAAGGATGTTCTAAAGACAATGCATGAGGCTTATGCTCTAGTCCTAGTTTTTAGGCCCATCTTCATTTAATTTTCCACACAATCCCATGCATTTCATGGGATCTGGACAGTTACCAACACAGGGACAAGGATATACTGTCCTGACATAAGCTAACAGAGACAACCAACATAACTACATCATCAACATGATAGCACAGAACAAACCAAAATTTCTTCTCCGTCCCTCCCTCCATCCTTCTCCCCCCACTCTCTCCCTTGCCGCCTCCCTCTTTGGTGGTCCACTTATTCATTCATGCAGCAGATATTCCTGGAGCAGTTATTCTGTGTTGGGCATTTCAAATGCTAAGGAAATGATTGTACATAAAGCAAGAATTCCTTTCCCAGTACTGCTGGGAGCTTCCAAGCTCTTGGGAGCAAGAGGCAGTAAAAAATAAGTGAATAAACAGAGATAAGTTTTATGAGTGAGGATAAAAAAAGAGATCCACACACAGTACAGGGTCTCTATGAGATGGTCAGGGGAAGCAGCTTGAGGGGACCTCTGAATAGATACCAGGGAGGCGGGAGGAAACAACCAGAGGAAGGAGTACCAGGTCCCGGGAGAGAAAGCACTGCCGCTGCAGCCTTCTGTAGGATGAACTGCGATGCAAGGGAATTCATGTGAAAACAACAGCTTCCTTCTACTCTCTTATGTTGGCTTTCGAAGATCTGGATTCTAAGGAGACTACCACTTGTCGGATAATCATCATAGCATATGCCACAGTCTAAGGCTGAAGGAATAGATTTCAAAATGCTGCCCCTAGCCTAAGACACCCATTCTCTTGCCTGCCTTGTAACCTGATGGGTGCTGACTAGATGTAGGTGGAGATGTCCTTTTCTAGGAGAATAATGCATGGAAGCCGAGTGATCATTATTTTCCTTACAGTCTTTCCTCTCTACAGGTAGTTAGTTCTCAGGATGAAGTAAAGGTCAGATTCAAATTCTCCTCCTGAAAAGCCTTCAACAATGTACCAGGACAAAAATGTCCACCCACTGAATCTTCTGAAGAGCATTACACTTACGTTTCCTAGATCAGAAACCAAGGTTAATTGTTTTCTCTTGAAAATCTGGCATCTCATTTTCTTTCATAGGAATTAACTTGTAAAATAAACCTATTTGAAACCCTATTGTGTAGGTGATGAGTTATCCACCAGCTGATGCCGGTGCTCCCGTGCAGTGTGGAAGATGTCAGTACATCTGGGTCCCAGGCCTGGTCTCATGCTTGATTTCAGAGTGTTTGATACATGAGGGATGATAGCAGCTTCCCTGTCTTTCTGGGAGGATTCTTGGGAGTTTTACGTCAGCTGGTTAAGAACTTATGCATGAGTGGGGTTTCATCCTAACAGCACGCACAGGTAGCACCCAAGGGTACTACTAAGGGCGGCGCCGTCAGAGAGAAAGCATACCGATTAACAGTAATGCTTCATTCAGCCTCCACAGAAAGGACCACCCTCCTCATAAATACGTATGAAGGCTGGCTCGCTCCCCTCTGTTTTGAGACAGGGTCTTGCAATGGAGCCCAAGCTGGCCTTGAACTCATAATCCTACTCCAGCCTGAGTGCTGGTAACAAGCATCTGCGACCATGTCTAGCTAGAGCTAATATTTTCAGAACTTGGGCAAAAGAGAAAAACTATAGGTACTGGATAATTAGAAAGACTCAACATCAGAGAAATAAATAAGCACTATCTGTAGACATAGGTGCTTGGGTGGAGGTGTTTATCTTCCCTCCGGAGATGCAAAATTGTGATCCCCGGGACTACTTCAGAATCCTCTGCCTAGATTCTGACTTCTGAAAGGGAACAACGAAACTCTACCAAACTGCCCCAGAAAGCTGCAAGGAGGCTGACCCTGTACTTAGGACCATCAGCGGGGGGGAAAAAACCCCCCAAAATTACAAAAGACCTATAATAAGTCCGTATCTCAGGCCTATATCAGAGGAGTTCACGTGAGGCCCACAGTTATCATAAGTGGGATGTACCCAGGCTAATAAATCAACTCTAAATACAAGTCAGGACTTACAAAAGCCCCAAGTAAGTCAGTGAAGATGAGAACACACACACACACACACACACACACACACACACACACACACACAGTCGCACATGTTAAACTGAAACAGTATTAAATCACCATTGAGACTTCACAGGCATACAAGATTTAATACCTCAGGACCAGAGGTAACAGAACAATCTGAAAGAGGCCACCAAGTGTTTTTGGAGTGGTGAGTGATGATGAAAGAATGATAAAAGAATGATATATGTCTAAAAACACAAAGCAAAATTTAAAAGACTAAATAGAAATTTAAACGTAGTTACTGAAGCAACAGACAAAATAAATTATAAATAAAACCTTAAGAAAGAATTAACTAGGTGAACTGAGTAAGAGCTCACTGTCTAGCAATGCACTCACACACTAGGGAGGGAGGGAGGGAGAAGGAGGAGGACGAGGACGAGGACGAGGAGGAGGACGAGAAAGAGGAGGACGAGGACGAGGAGGAGGAGGAGAAGGAAGAGGAGTATGACGAGGAGGAGAAGGAAGAGAAAGAGGAGGAAGGAGAGGAGGGGGAAGAGAAGGAGAAGGATAAGGAGGAGGATGAGGAGGAGGACGAGGAGGAGAAGGAGGATGAGGAGGAGAAGGAGGAGTACAAGGAGGAGAAGGAAGAGGAGGAGAAAGAGGAGGAGTACGAAGAGGAGGAGGATGAGGAGGAGGAGGAGGAAGAAGAGGAAAAGGAGGAGGAGTACGAAGAGGAGGAGGACGAGGAGGAGGAGAAGGAGGAGGACGAAGAGGAGGATGAGGAGGATGAGGAGGAGGGGGGAGAAGTATGAGGAGGAGGAGAAGTATGATGAGGAGGAGGACGAGGAGGAGGAGAAGGAGGACGAAGAGGAAGATGAGGAGGAGAAGGAGAAGGAGGAGAAGAGGATAAGGAAGAAGAAGACAAGAAGAGAATGAGAAGGACAGGGAAGAGACAAGATAGAAAAGTAACCAAATGCCTGGAGCTAAAAAGCCAGATAATCAGACAGTAGGAAAAATATAATATGTGAAGAAGTAACAACAGAGGAAAATATTATCTCCAAACCAAGAAATCTTGAGTTCAAAGCAGGATAAACAAAGAGAAAGCAGTGAAACTGCAGATCATGACAGATACACAGAAAAATTCAAAACCATCAGAAAAAAGATTTACCACTAGAAATGACAATTGTGGTAGCAAATGTCTCATTTTCAGTTACAAAGGCCACAGACACCTAAGACTATCTCCAAAGTACTGAAGGAAAATAACTCAGAATTCGTTATTATCTAAGGGCCAGTGAGGTAGCTCAGTGGACTAAGTGCCTGCTTAGTCAAGTGCGAGGACTAGGGTTCAATCCCCAGCACCACATGCTGCGCTGGCCTGCCCCTGTGTGCACTAAGCCGGCCACAGAGACCAGGCGTGGTGGTGCATACCTGCAATCCTAGTGCTGGGGAGGCTAAAATCAGGAGGATCACTAAGAGTTCAAGCTACGTAGAGAGGCCTTGCACCAAATACACTAAAAAAATTCTATACTCCATTAAACTTAACATTTAGGGGCCGGGGAGGTAGCTTAGTAGAATAAGCGCTTGCCTGGCAAGTGCAAGGGCCTGAGTTCAATCCCCAGTTCTGCCAAAAAATAAAATAAAACATAAAAAAATAAATTAATTAATTAATGGGAGCATGATTAGACAGAGTTGAAGACTAAGAGAGACCATCCTCAGCCTTGCTGGACATTAGACTCCTTGAGAAGGCTTTGTAAAACACAGACAGGTAATAGCTCCCCAGAGCTGTTGATTCAGGTCTGGACTGGGACTTGAAAATGTGCACTTTGTACAAGTTCCTGGGTGATGCTGGCGCCCTGACAACCACGACCTGTACTATGCACTTTATTAAGAAAACCCAGGTATTTTAAAAATACAAAAAAACAAACCAAACAAACAAACAAACAAACAAACAAAAAACCAAAACAAAAATGAAAAACAAAAAATGACCAAGCCTCCAAGGAAGTTTCAAATATCTGAATGAATATTGTAATATTCATTGACAATAATAGTCTCTGACTACAATGCAAAAAAATAGAAATAATATATGGATAGGTGAGACCCTCTCATAACTCTTAAACACTAAAAAGTAGACTCCAAATAATTCATAGTCAAGAAGAAAAATCATATGAAAATTGCCAAGTATTTAGAATATACCAAAAGCCAAATATCCACATTGTTAATAATCACCTAATCATACATACTCTTACTGAAAGCAGTATCACGAATAATAATAAAAAAGTAAACAAAGGTCTTTTATAACAGAAAAAGAGATCTTTCTTGAAAGTGAGTCTACCTGAACATATAAGGCTAAGTAATTTTAACACTTATAAGGACTGCAAGTGTTGGAGTGAAGGTAGGTGACTGACAAATGACTGAAGCAGTTGAAGTTTAAATGATCACATGAACCATTTTCTGCCACTGAAGATCACAGTGGTTCTCGAACTGAGCTCCTTTTCAGTGATGCAGAATGGAAAACACTGTGCTAAGAAACAGCTGTGACTGTACGTCCGAAACCAAGCCACTGCAAGACTTTCAAAGCTACACAGAAGAAAAAGTACATGACTGTTTGGGGAGCACTCTGAATAGGAAACAACCCCAAAATAGCTGAGCAAATCCAACAATTGTACCCAAAAGGTGGCTGAAGGGGTGTCAGTTATCAAGGTACATTTGTATTATGATATCTTCTAAGTTTTCATCTAAACAAATCTTCAGACCTTAAAATACTATTTTAGATCAGATCAAAATGACAAATTTAATATTTTAAATGTAACTATTGGACCCTTAGCTTTCTTTTTTTTCTGTATATAGTACAGGGTGTACAGGGTCTCACTACACAGATCCCACTCATAGTAATCTTCCTGTTTTCAGCTTCCTGAGGGCTGGCATTACAGGTGTGCACCACCATGCGCAGTTTCAGTGGGTCCCCGGGGGTAGGGCTGGCACAGCATGTGTGTGGCGGGGATCAAACTCCAGTCCCTGAGCTTTGCCTAAGCAGGCACTTTAGTCCACTGAGCTATGTGGCCAGCCCTCAAATTAATTTCCATCATTTTTATTTTTCTCTGTCTTTTTCCCTCTTTCTTGTTTTTCTCTTTCTTTCTTTCTTTCTTTTTTTTTTTTTTTGGCAGGGGGTTACTGGGGATTGAACTCAGGGCCTTGTGCTTGCCAGAAGATGTTTATCCTGCTGAGCTACCTCCCCAGCCCCCATTATTGCACGAAAGAATAAAATGTAGTTCCTTTTTTTTTTTCTTTCTGTCTTTTAGAGGATTCTTTTGGGGACAGTTCTGGGGATGGAACCTAGAACCTCATATATACTAGGTAAGTACTGTACCATGATGGTATACTCTTAGCCCACAATCTTTTAAATGGCCTCCAAATGTACAATGTTTTTACTGAACCTGGGGCTTTTCCTATAATTTCAAATTATCTCAGTGCATGCCTTTAGCTAGGGCAAAAGCTACTAGGATATGGTACGTGTAGTTCCATCCTGCAGAACCATCCATAGGGTTCCACAAGAGGACTCTCTCTCCTTCCGTGAACACAGTGTGTGGAAGCATCCTCAGAGGTCACTGCACGTAAGTCAGAATGGACTCTTCCTACTTGGCAGGGATGAGAAAGCCAACGGGTCAGCAGAGTTAAGACTGACTCTGCCAGCAGCCTAAGGAAGCAACCTCATCAGAAAGGCCTGCAGATAATTAAGCTTGAGAGATTTGAATGCACATATTTATTAGCTTTGGCCTAAAGAAATGACAATACAAATACATTAACTGATTTTTCTTCATATAAGGGAGGAGATTTTGATTGTAGTTTTCAGTTATCTTTTTACAAAGGAGAAGAAACACGTCTAACTGTGTGCTCCCTTTATCAAACCACTTCTACCCCCTTTATTGTGAAAAGGCACATAGAGCCACACCTAGAGATGGTCAGGACACAGGAAGAATGTCAATGTACTTGACTGCATCAGGTCCTTGGCATAATATAATCAGAACACACAAGAAACACATGTTTATGTAACGAAAATTTATACCAAAGAATCAGAAATGGAGAATACTGACCGGACCAGTGATGGCTGGGTTCTGCAGTCTTGGGTCTTCCCATTGGGTTATTTTGCTATCTGAAATGTTAAAAAAGAAAGAAAAAGGTTACTTCAAATCTATTCTATATAAAGTATGTTTTAGAAAGAACTATTTCTGGATTCTTCAAAAGTTGTCTGCTCCCCTATTCTGGGCCCCTGGGTTAGAAAGCAACTAGACTTTACATGGTAAATTTCTCACATACTGTTTAGTTCAAAATACTCAATCAAAAATGCACAACTAAAGTGAAACCATATATCTGCCCTGGTTTTGGCAAGCAATCTGCTGTCATTTTAATTATAAACCCCTGTCCTTCCAAGGATTTATAATTTGATCTTGATTTTTCATTTAATTAAAAAAAGGCCTCTGTGCCTCAGAAGGTTAACAAACACACAGGATTTTTTGTCATTTCAAATATTTTTTTATTTGCTTAGGGTGTTGAAAAACTGCTTTCAATTAGGAATCCTGCACTGAACAGATGAATAATCCACTACATGCGTCACTCACACACACACAAAAATCAAAGCAACTATGGCAGTCCAAAAGACAAGAATTAGACACAGCCAGCGAAAACTCCAGAGAAATACTTCCTTGCTGGCGAGGCTGACAGAGGGGATTTTCCTTCTTCCAAGTGAATCAAGGAGAACATGACTGCTCAGTGCTCCCTACACTGCAGCTCATCCAGGTGACAACACACAACAGCTGCCCCGGGTCACTAGAGGTTTATAATTGTGCCTACAGGAGGAGATGCCAGGGGTCCCTCTGTCTGTGTTGGAGGGCCAGGGCTAAACAGGTTCCTATGAAAGATATAGGCAGGCCAGGCTAGAGGAGATGGGTCTTCCAAGTTGGTCAAAAAAGGGGAGAAGGGGAAGAAAACTGCCTAAAAAGTAACCCTGCACACTCTTACTCTGAAACCGGGCTGGCAATAACCAATAAGTTCAGCTTTGATAACCAAAGGTCTGGTCTTACTTTAACTAAATCAGAAATAAAGTGGAAAGAAAAGCTCCTTGGGTACAAGATCAGTCAAGAATCTTTTGTTTTCATGGTGGCAGAACATTTACGTGAAGTTTCAACTGTTTTTGAGAACCCCAGTGGAAGCAAAAGGCATTTTGGGGTCCTTTACCTTGAAAACATTAGACTTTCAAAAGTAAAGCTTGCGAATGTGATGGAAAATAAAAACCAAGCAAATAAAGAATGCAAAATATACCTCAGTAAAAATGGTGACTTAAAATACCAACTTGGATTGAAACTGTGTTAGCTAGATTTTATCATCGAAACAGAATATAAATTTTCTATTTCTAACACTTGAGGACTCCCAAATCTTCCAAATGATTCCCAAACCAGACCTGAACTGCAAGCTCCATCCTACACATCCACCTGTAGCTGGATTCTCACAGCAAACCAGAAGACTATCACCACAAACTGTTCCTACGACCGCCTCTTCCATTTCAGCTGTATCACAATCCATTCACTGTTCGAATTAGGACCCAGGCCTCACCACAATGCCCTGCTGGACACTGAACTGTCCCTCCCTCCTAGACTTCTTACTGGGGTATTCACCTTTCTCCTTGATTATTATCTATGCTTCTCTGGCCCTGGTCTTATCCAACCCTATGCAAAACTTTTTTTTTTTTTTTTTTTTGCAGAACCCAGTATTGAACTCAGGCCCTTATGCTTGCCAGGCAAGTGCTTATTCTACTGAGCTATCTCCCCGGCCCCCTCAAAACTTTCTTGACAACTCTGCCAAAAGGATCTTCATAAAGTTCCCATCTGACTATGGCCATTCCTCTCTGGAAAATCCCTTTCGAGCTCTACACTGCTTACAGAGTAAACCAGAGGTCCCTCATCTGCAAGACACCCTATGACTTGGCCTGGGTGCCACACCAGCCTTGTCTGCACACCAGTTAGGTGGAACATGGTGGCCTTTCTTTGAACACAGCCTAGTGTGCACAAAGTTGTACACCTGCTGCTCTTTGTTGGGCCTGCCAGGCACAATGCTTCTTGGGTTTGAAACTTATCTGCAAGAGAACCCTTTCTGTACCACGCTTGCCAGCTTCCCTCACATAGCATCCAAATAACTGGTTTACACTGCTGACAACAGCTAAGGTGTCTTCTTTCCTGTCACTCCATGTGGATGTAAGCCCCTTGAAGACAGGAGCTGTGTGTCAACTATCTTGCTACCACTTGACATTGGTTCTGGTATATAACAGGAGCTCAGTATGTTACCTTTTCAATGACTGAGTTAAGCTGATGGTGAAAAAATTCCTTTAAAGCAGAACCTTCCAGAACCATTCAAGTTTCTGTGTGGTTAAAATAAAGATCAATTTTGAAGCTAAGTGTTGTCAATACATGAATGAATGGTGGCCAGTAACACATTTTTAAGAATTTTTGAGTCTAAACTTGCTTTTCTTCTTTAAGACATTATATTTCAAGTAAAAAGGCAAAAAAGAAGTAGAAGGATGAGAAACTCAGCCCATTTAGCCACTACTATCAGGGCTGGCAAGAATCTTGGCAGAAAAGACCTACCCAAGAATCACTGGAATTCCTTTTCTTTTAATTTTTGTATTTAAGATGCCTGTGGTCAATTACTCAGCTGCTGGGTATATGTGGTCTTAAGAAGCATGATATCCTTCTCATGAGGGCTAGATATTCCTTTCCAGTTCTTCCCTGAAGTTTTTATGCCAGGCCCAAGAGATAGGTGCTAATTGATGAATGTCAACCAAATGGAACAAAAATGAACTGAAGACTAGAATTAAACACTGGTTGTTCCTGAAATACAGTCTTTAAGGTTGAATGCTGTTAATCTTGAAAATATCTAACTTATCAAGAAGAATTAAATAATTACTTAAAGGCCAAGTGCATACATGTCGCAGCTATGTTGGAAGACAGCATGGCTCTGAACAGCTTATAAATTGATTGTGGGTGTGATGCAGTGGTACCCAGAAGGTGACCTCTATCCTGCAGATATTATGACAGCAAAATTCTGAAGGTAAGAGAATCCCTAGATATTATCTGTCAGGTACCTGAGTTTATTTTGGAAAATATCTGTTGCCCCCACAAAGCCTGTGAACAATGTAGGGATTTTATACTTGCAGACTAGACTTGGGAGGAAAGGTAAATGAGCTCATTTGTTGACATGAGCTCCGCTTTATCATTTTCCATCAAGTAAACCTTGGCAAACTAGCGACTGCGCAGACATGCAAGATTAAAAGCTAATGGGGTTTAACAGATCCTTCAAACAGGTCTTTTTCTTAAATGGTTTTTGGCACCTCATTTTTTCTCTGTTAAAGAGGAACATTCAATATGGTTGTACAAAGGAAAAATAGATCTTAACCTGCAGATCCATGATGATAAATGTGTTTGTAAAGTTCAGAGCCATTAGGCTCTCGATATGGTCTTTCTGGAGTAATGGATGGGTCAGAAGTCAGGAGCAGCGGGCATCCAGCAAGCATCGGCCTCTGCCACCTCCTGGTGAGCAGGGTGGCGGGGAGCTGCTGCTTCTCAGACAGGTGCTCTCCACCCCACTCAAGCACAGCGGCTCTGAGACTATCACCCTGGCACTCCATGACCCACCTTAAAGATCCCATTTACTGAGCATCTACCAAATCCTCTGGGAGGTCCACCAAGCCCTAGGGAAACTGCACAGTTTTAGTTTCTAGTGTACAGCAGTGGACCTCTTTGTGTTAGCAATGTTCTTCCTTTTAACTCCTGGGTACATTAAGAACGAAGTCCTTTCCAGGTTGACCTTAGGCCATGAACCAGAACAAGCAACTGTGAGTGAAATCCTTGTGAGTCACAGAACAAGGCAGTGTTACTGCTTAAGAAATTGTTTTAATGAAATGATCAGTATTACTTACATTTTTCTTTGAAAACTGAGAAGAAAAACCAGAAACTTTTTTTAAAATGGAAAAAATCGGTATGACTTTTCCTTGGTTTTAGCAAATTCTTTGAAAAGTAGTATTGTAAATATACCGAGGGGAAAGTGGTGTATACACATGCATTTTAAAGCATTTGAAGTAACATTATGCTTACTGTAAAGTTCTAGAAATTATGCAAATGAGAATGATTTTCTGATCAAAGGTGAAAACTAAGCCTGTGTGTCTTGAAATAGCAGATTTAACTCCAAAGGCAGCCCTCTGCCCCTTACAACAGACTTCTGCTTTTGGTTTAATTCTGAATTGTTGGGGCATGTTGCTTAATTCAATTTATATTAGCCCTGCAACCAGGGATGGTGACCCTGTTGGAGCTTTCAATGGTAACCAACAGTCTGCTGTGGTACGTGTGTCATAAACTTGCCTTACACTTATGGGCCTGGGAGCAAGGTCTCCTTGACACGCAACTGGGGCTCGAGTACTCTCCGGAAGGGTACCATGCCTGAGCCAGGCAAGCGCTATATATCTAAGGATTCCTTGTGGCCAGACTTCTCAGCAAATATCTCATTAATATGCTTTTGTTTAGCTCTGAAAATGTGGGTAAACCTGGAGACCACCTCTTGTTTATGAGCCAGATGAAAACAAAAACTGAAATGCTACCAAACAGCACACATCATTTAAACTTCACATTTACTTGAAGTCTTAACACATCTTTTCAGAAATTTTAGGCACTATAAAAATATGATCCCATGAAGAACATGTCACATCAAAAGGCAAAAAAGAAAGAAAATGAGAAAAAAAAACCCATCAGCTAAAAGCAAACATTTATTAGTGTAATTTTTAGTTGAAATGAGAAACCACACATTTATTCATAGGGGCTGGAGCAACTGTCTTCAGCAAATACACTACAATTTTAAGAAAACAATTGTATATATTATTAGTGTGTTGGGTGCAAGGGAACATGCTATGAATAGAAAATAAGGTCAGAATAAGTGTCTTGCCATAAGACCTTTGAAGGCACTGTTCTGAAAACTTACGTACAGCTAAATGCACTGTTCACAGAGATTTGTTTTGACTAAATCATTGCCTCTAATCTTATTTTCTATTTCCAGAGTGTATTTAATAAAAGCGCAAATATCAAGGGACGGTCAACCAAAAATTTTTTTTAAAAAATTATAAAAAAAAGTTAATAAGTCACAAGATCAAATTGGGCGAAAGCTTGATGGGCTACTGGAAAGCAAGCTCAGGGGAAAGGCACAGTACCGTACGAGGGCACTGACTCTCTGGGGTCATTCTCTCCACATACCACCTGGCTGCCTGGACAAAGAGTGAAACGACAAAGCTTTCACTATAGTAATTGAATCCCCCTCCTGCTCCCGTTCCCCAGCAACACCTGTGTGTCCAGCGCGGCGCCTACTTACTATGGTCAATGTAAAACGTGCGGCCATCCAGATGGATTCTTTCTTCCCAGCCAGGCTGGTATTCAGCGAAGGGGAGCGGAGAGAGCAAACATTAGTTAGCATGTCTACTACTATCACAGGTACTGTTTAAAGTATCAAGGGAACTTTCCTTAATGCTTCTCCTAAGGTACAGCTTTACAATAAACATAGATGGTACCGGTGACCCCCGATACTATTTACCCATACTCATACGTCCCCTATCTCAGATGCATTCCCCGTGTGATGAACAGCAAACGGGTGCTACCTGAAAAACTCCACACAGAACCTCAGCACACATGGAAGTTGAGTTTGCAAAGCTTATTTGGTTAAATAAATAGTACTACAGTGAGGGAGGAGGAGCAAGGCAAGTGAATATAAGCATGCTAGACACAGTGGCTCTATGTTAAGTGGCAACACACCACCACACTGGTATGCTCTGCCTTTAATTCTCACTATTCAAACTCAGGAACTGTTACATCCAGTGGGTCTGGGATCTTGGGTCCCCAGACTCACTGTGGCTGAGTTTGTCTCTCTCTCTGATGCAGAAAGAGCAGGAAGAAGGAGAGCAAAAGACCAGTGCAAAGTAAAAGTAATTTTATTGTAGGTCTTGTAAGAGGTGAAGAGCCACTACTGGGGAGCAGTGGGGCCCACTGCTGGGCAGCACTGAATCTGGAGCTGCGATCCTGTTTTATGGGACAGGGGCCCCAGCTCCACCTCCTGAGGGGCAAAATTGGTTGACTGGATACTGGGCTTTTTGCTAATGGAGAGGCTCTTCTGCTTAAAAGACAACACAGACACACTCACACACATGCATCCCATTTAAAATTAGTCTTAGCATCCAGCTTTGGTCCCTACCCTCCCACTTTCTTTATGGGCAGGTTGTGCAGGAGGATGCACAATGAGATTTCTCTCAAAATTCATTTGGACCAAAGAACTCCACTCCCCAAAAGAAAACAAACTGGTAAAACATTAGATTTATAAATAGTCATCCACCAGGGAGAAAAAACTCAAAATATTTGCAGGTTAAGTGACTTCCTGTGATTACTTATGTCTTTTTTTTTTTTTTTTTCTCCCACACTGTTGTCAGTATTTTTGTTTCCATGACTAACTCAACAAATGGATGGAACTCAGTGGCTGGTAATTTGTAAATGTGTGCTGTTTAAACCATCACCCACAGGGAACACCTCTTACGTGTCCTAGTTTGAAGTCTACCTTCCATTAAGTGGTTAGCAGTTCAGAAACTTCATTTTTCAAGTGCTGGTGTCACATACACTGCAGTGCAGTCTTGGAATCCCAGCACAAATTCTACCTTATTAACAAACACAGACCAAGGAGACCCCAGAAGCTTGTAGAAGAAGCTTGGAGAAGGAGAAGACTCATAGGCCCTCTCCATCAACACTGGGTGGATAAAAGAATGAGCACCTTCAGCCCATTCCATGCACTCCAGTATACTCACAGGAAGTGGGCCAAGGTCATTGGGGTTTAGAGATGCCTTTGACCGCATATGTACTGGAAATTTCAGGCGTGGGTCTTCCTGCAAGAAAAATGTTAAAGACAGAAGACATTAAGAGGGACTGTGTGTGCAGTTGTGGGTTCCTTCCCTGCTTGAGATGTTGCAACGAAGTTGTTTGCGCACAGTGTACAGGAAGGATCTCATCTCTATGTTTTTACAGAAAGCCTAGCTATCTCTCAAGTCTCTTCCCTTTACCTTGGGCTTAGTGAAGGAAAAGGGTATAAATATTTAAAGAGAAGGTCAATTAGCTCCCCCAGACTTTGAAAAGGTGACAGAGGAAAGGGTCCTCCCAGCGATTTACCATGGAAACCACAACAAAAGTGCCAGTGGTGCCCTTGCTGTACTCCAGATGGGAGCGGACAAGGCTTTGTAAATGCCCCTCTGGGTTCTGATACGTAGGCACAGCACCCCACTTGTGCTGAGTCCTTCTGCTCCTTCCTAAGCTAGGCAGGGGCTCTGGATCTGGTCTGCTGCCAAGTCATGTGGTTGCTCCTGAGAAGTTGTTTGCACACAGTGTACAGGAAGGATCCCATCTCTATGTTCTGTAGGAATTCTTGTACTCAACTATGGAGCTTTACTGAGGTTCTCACCGAGTCCTGCACACTGGCTTCTCATTTATACTTTAATATAAAAATTTATAGGACTTAAGTGATATGCCTCATAAAATACTACAGAGAACCAAGGAAAGAAATATGTACTTATACCAGGAATCAAACTCAGGACTTCATACTTGCCAAGCAGGTGCTTATACTGTTGAGCTATCTCCCCAAGCCCTTTTGTTTCTTTACATGAAAAGAAGTATCAGAAATAATACAAATTTGGCCATAATGAGGACGTAGAGTCTGGGAGCTGCCCCCATGAAAATATGATGTAATATGGATAATCCATATATTTAATCTCAAAAGATTAAAAAATAAAACTTTGAAAAATATGAGAAAAATATGTCAATTAGAATAACATATTATCTGCCCCAAAAACAAACATTTAAGACATCTGATGCCTACTTAATGCAATTATTTTCCAGCCTCTGCTGCTGTCAAGTTTCTAACAAGTTTTGTTTCAACAATTCCTTGAGTCAACAGCATACTGTTGTACCCATGGATAAATTTTGGGAAATGATAAAAGAAAAAATATCACAAAAATAAAATTAACCTTTGCTTTCTGTTAACTACTGTAAACTTTTAATTGAAGAAATAAATCATCTTAGCAGTTTGTAATGAATGTTGATCCTGAATCTAATCTATACTTAAAACTCTGAGAAGTGGTACAAAGTGAGTCCAATAATCTACAGTACAGTGAACAAATACAGTAAAGAAATACATTAAATATTTAGATAATCTGGTAAACATTTTTGATTGGCTAACTATAGATAGAGGAAAAGTTTTTTTTTTTTTTTTAAATGAATTTAAGACGGGGTCTACAGGGTGTATAGTGTCTCACTACACACCTCGGACTTGTAATGATTCACCTGTTTTAGGCTTCGCAAGTGCTGGGATTACAGGTGCGTGCCACCACACCCAGTCTCAATCGCCATCTGAGCATGCCCTGGGGGCGGGGCTGGCACAGCACTCCAGGGATTGAACCCTGGCTGCTGTGCTCTGCCTAAGCGGGCGCCTTAGCCCACTGAGCTGTCTGGTTGGCCCTAGAGGAAATGTTTAAAAGCATCAAAATGCACAAAAGCTGCCCACTCAATTCTAACTCTAGGCAAGACCAGGTAAGAGCACAGCTATCAAGAGACCTTTGGTGCCCCGTGTAGCCAATGACCACACCAGGTTTAGAGAAAGCACCTGGACAGCCGCTGCCCAAAAGGAGGCAGGGAATATGCAAGGTCAGCGGTGTTTTAGAATTACAGTCAATCATGCATCTTTGGTAAAACTCTGGTGATTCAGAGAGACAGAGAAAAAAAAGCTAAGATTAAAGAAGAGGCATAGGGAATGGGGCTAACAAGAAATATGGCAAAAGTTCAGTTTCACTGGTGTGCTAACATGGGCTTGCACAGGGCTTCACAGGATGGAAGGGCCAGAGGCCCCTAGGAGGGCATATCATTTTATTTTACCAACATCTATCAAAATAATGATAGCTGCTGCCATAAACCACACCCTGACGGCTCTCTGGTGGCTGCCGAAATCACTATGAGTCCCCTAAACCACCCAAGGAGGTCGGTCGGCATCCTCACAGCTGATGCCATTGGACCATGGGGGTGAACCTATGGCATGCGTGCCGCAGCTGCCTATGTTACCACTGACAGCTCTAAAAGGTTCACCATCCCTGCAGCAGGAGGGGGCTGTCAAGGACTAGAGGTAGTTATGGACTACTTTAGGACTATGTTGCATAGGATATGAATTTCAATGAATGCAATATGGAAACATACTTGGTTGCTTTTCCCCTTACTCATCCTAGTAAGGACAATGGATAATCAATTTATTCTCTTAATTAGTCAAAAAAATTGAACTGAGTGTATAAAGATGAGTATTTTCTAAAAAGGATTTCCTAATTTAAAAAAATGTAAAATATGAGAATATTGATTGATTTTTTAAAAACAGCAGTGCTTTATCCTTTTTACTTTCAATCCAGGAAGAGACTAGCAATCATGGCTAGTCTCCAATCAATTTTATTATCTTGAACTTGAGTAGAAATGCGAAGCTGCAACCTGACTAAGGTATAACCCTTTTTTTCTTCCAAAACTATGCTTTGAGCCACTCCATGGCAAGCTGGCAGTCTCTAGCACTCATTCTCTGCCAGCCTGACTCAAGTGGGGACAAAACAAAGCCATTAAAAAAAAAGAAGTATGCAATGGAGTACTACTCGGCCGTAAAGAACAAACCTGAGACACTTCTAGGTGAGAGGACGCAACTTGAGACCACACTTAAAGGTGAATTAACTCAGACTCGCACGGGGAAACACGGCATTGTCTCCCTGGTGTGGGAAACTGGAAGAGCGGATGAGGAGCAAAATGTGTAACAGGTATTGGGAAGGGGGAAGGAATTGTTCAAGAAGGAGAAACTAGGGTGGGGGGCAGGGGAAAGGAAGGAAGGGGAAAGGGAAAAATACAAGGTAGTTATACTATTAGTGTTTCTTAGTTCATTGAAAAGTTTGTGTTCCAATCATTTGGAGAATTTCTGATGCCACATTTTATACTCTGACTAACCACTTTGAGCACAACAATATGCAATGTATGAACTACTGTTATTCTATCATTTTGTTATGAAATTTTATTTTAATTTTTCCATAAAATTAAATGAAGGTGGCTAGGCATTCATTTCCAAACAGACTACAGGCATGCTGTGTGCCTCCTTTGTATAGAGATAAATGGGTCTTACGAATGCAGCTGGAATGGAAGCTTACTCTATCGACATGCAGAGGGAAATGGCCTGAATGTCTCCTACTTCTGGTTAGTATAAGAATCAACAGCATCCAAGCTGAAACAGGAAGCATTATTTTCTTCATTCTTAACCTGCCCTACCTGTTTGGTTCTTTTACTATTTTAATGTTCAAGCCTAAAGCATCTAGCTGTAAGCTGCCTTCACATTTATTGTTTCTAAAAACTAAGCAAACCCACAAAACCAACCTGAAACAGATTTTAAACCCGAACGGCTCCCCACTCCTCCATACTTCTGTCGAGAGGCACACGCAATCTAGAGAGCGTCTTCCACGCTGAGATTCTGGGCAAGCCTCTGTTTACAGGAGATAACACAGCTGCGGCAGCACATGTGAGTTTACTTAGAAGGGCAGCAACTTGGGGGATTTCCAGCTGTTGCCTCTGGGATCTTCAATAGTAGCAGTTGCTGCAGCAGCCGCCACAATAAAATGTTTTTACAACTGAAACTTCTAGAGCGAGTAAGTCAGTAACAAGTATCTGGGTAGAAAGGACTCCTAAAAGTTAAAACTGGGTTTCATTCAACAACAATGCTGGGCATAAGGAAAGCCAGTGCTATTTAAAATAAAATCTGCCCAGTTGCAATTACACTGCAGTTGTGGCGTGAAAGGCTGTGAAAAGGTTAGGGGATTTGATTACTAAGCTAGTTCAAATTACTCAAATCGTAGCTTATGTTGGCAAGCCACAGTGGCTCCGTACGCTAATCCATCTATGTTTGAATATTTATCCCATTTCTGAGGCTCTGATTTCTGGCTGAGCATATGAAAGTACAGCAGCAGTATGGGAAGGGGGAACACCTGTAGGGCAGTCACAGGTTCTTTGCCAATGGCAAAAAAAGACCTAAAATCAATCTTTGTTACTCTATTTTGCAAAGAGCTGCCTGTTTCTCATTCTTATCTGGCCCACAAACCTGTAATATGATCTCAGACTAAAAGGTGAGTCAGACAAACCTCTGTGTCATTAGATGCTTTAGAAGTAGTTATCAGTTTACCAAATGAATGTCATCAGATCTCAATGATAAGTGTTCTTGGCAGGTCAGTAAATTCCTTTACTACAAATAGGAAGAGCTTTTAGAGAGGTGCTCAGTAAGGAGTGTTTGGAAATGTGGGGAGCATTTTTGGTTATCAGTGTGTTGGTGAAGCAGGTGATGGCAGCTATTAACATTCACTGCTAGGAGCCAAGGATGTGAAACATTCTGCAGGAGAAGGCCTGGGCAGGCGGCCCCAAGGGCCAGGAATGCCCTCATGGGTCGGGACGTACATGCTGCATCACGGTCCCTAGGATCTAAGGGAGCAGCCTCCGAATAATTCTCAAGGAACAAGATTAACATTCCTGAAGGACCAAGTATAAATGACTGCCCATATCACCTAAGTATGGGTTTTCTCCTTAACATATATTGCTGTCCCAGGAACTATCTGGACATACAAGGGGTCCATCACTAGAAAGGAGAATTTAAACTGCAAGTTCATATTTGATCCCACACTGACAAACTTGGGCCTGGGACAAATGTCTAAAACTTAACTGGGTTTCATATAACATCAGTTCTAATAAGTGGCACAAATGATGGGCCTCAGCTAATCTGTGAGCTAACTCTACCTAGACAATTGGATGGGGAAACAAACAACCTGAAGCATCCAAACAAGCCAATGATAACAGAACCCATTTGAGTTCAGTTGTAGGCCTAGAGATTATACATTAGAGAAATACCAGCAGACTTTTAAAAGAACTATATGTTACCTTGAAAAAGCCACCACTGATTCAGCTAAAAAAATATCTGACAGAGGAATATAAAGATACACATATTCACCTTCATTTCATCTCATTTTGCCCTAGTTAGCATAACACACAGACCTTTTCTCACTCATGATTTAGGAGCACAGAGAAGTGCAGCAGGACAGGAAAGATAGTTTTTGACAAAATACTGAGAAGAGCGATCAGGTTTTATAACCAAGTCATTCAATACATTTCAACCAAGTCATACAATACACAAAGGAATGAAAATGTTTAACCAATAAAAAAAGTGACAAATCAAATAAGGGAGGTCTGTCAATAAAGATGCAAAGAGAAATGGGTAAAGGCAAAATATAGTTAGAAAAATTATAATTCCATATAACATGGCAACAGCATGAGATGCGAGGTAGTAACATCAAAATCCTAGCAATGTGGAGTGCCTCCCGCTTTCCTACTTTGGCAGCTGCCAAAACGAGCCCTCTCCAGGAGTTCTGTGAGGCATGCGGGCCACACTGAGACCAGCACCCTGACCTCCGGGCTCTGTCCCCACGCAGCAGCCCATGAGCCCTAGACCCCCAGGAGTCGGCCTCCAGGCCACTCCTCTCCAAGAAATGAGCACTGAGGATGGGAAGCGAGAGAGTGATGCCAGACCTCCAGGTGAAATGGTGCCAAAGAAAAGCAGCAGCAGCCTTACCCATGTCGTAGTCTTTGTGTTATGGTCAATGAAGAAGGGCCGGCCGTTTGGAGCTATCCTCATTTCCCAGCCAGGTGGCAGGAAGCTCTGTGTGACTTTGTGTTGTGGTTTGGGGGAGTTGTAGGGTGATGGCTGTGGGGACTGTGGATTGGAAAGGGTATCTTTCACAGCCCGGCGTATGGGTGAATCCTTGGCACCCTAAGGAATAATAATGCGCATTAGAACTCTTCGCCATGTGCTATTCCACTGGGTCAAAATGTATCTGGGTACCATAAAACGCTCCTCCGTAGAGATGGACACAGTAGGAGCTCCTAAAAACCCTCTTCACTCATTTTCTTTTAAATCAGTCTAGCTTTATATTTTTCTGTTTGTCTACAACATACTCCTTGGTTGTTGGTTAAACACACAATATTAAATACTTAGAACTACCAATATTTGGTAGCCACTGGGTATGTATCAGAAACACAACAGTATTAATATGATTATATAAATACACAATACTATATTAAGCATTAGGAATAGGGATTTTACAGAGTGGAGAAAATGTGTCCTTGCTCTTAACGAGCTCACAGTCTAATAAAGAACAGATTGGCAAATTTTAGAGCACAGAAACTAAAACCTCCAATGATTAAGGTAACTGCCTGGCATGATGTAGTTGTTACCCGAAACATTTACATTAGAGTCTGCAAAAGCAATCACCTATTCCTGCTTAGCAGCAACTTGACCAAAGCAAGAAAGAACCCACAGCCACCGCTAGGGCACAGTCAGGTTTAGAACTTCAAATGTTTACTCTCTGGCTATTTTAACTCTGACATTTGTGATGTTCAGGATCGGCACTAAAACAACACAAACAGAAGAGCGCACAAGCAGATGTCCAGCAATGATTTAAGGATAAAGATATGCATCAGAGACATGAACGCTCATACAATGAAAGTTCCTAAGGTCAACGAAAAAAAAAAATGATCAAAGCAACAGCTATGTTTAAAACTCAATATAAGCACTGGTATTGGAAAGAGTTATTATGCAGCTCTAATGAGATAACAGGCAATAAGGAGCAAAACACAACAAGAATGGGAAAGTTCTGAAAAGAGAGTGCCCACATCCAGCACGGGTTACCACGCACGGCGTCAGCCACATGAGAATGAAATTGTGAGAGTCCCGGATGTTATCTGGGCTAGACAGAGAAGCACGCGGGGAGTCTGCACAGAGCAACCCTCACCAGAACACACGACTGATCAGAGGGGAGGTGGCTGCAGAACTGGAGTCCACATTACGAGAGAAGAGAGAAAGAATGAGGAGAAGCCACAGGACAGAGGTGACCCTGGGTAGATGTGGTAGCCTTCTCACCTCCAGTGGGGCAGATAAAGTTACTGTTGGCGAGCTGAGGCTACGAGGCCGGCGGATCTGAGGCTCGATTAGGTGGTTGTTACTGTTTGTGGCTGATCCAGAGGCACCATCTTCTGCAAGCTATTTTGAAGGCAAAAACAAGTTAGCTTCGTATGAGGATCTGTGTGTGTGTGTGTGTGTGTGTGTGTGTGTGTGTGTGTGTGGTTAGGATGTGAACCCAAACAACACACACAGCAGTAATAAGAGGTCTGGCCTATTTAAAGCCTGGAGGAAATAATTAAACATAATAATGGGGGGAAAGGACGGGGAAACACATTCAAGAGATCAAAAATGAATCACTGGCCTGCGTAAAACAAACTTTGGAAAAAAGAGGGGCAGAAGCTATGCACTGGAGTAGGCTCCACTCTGAAAATACCTTTCACATCACACTTGAAAAACATGTGACCAAGGTCTGGGGTATAGCTCAGGTGTAAAGTGCTAACCTAACAAATTCAAACCCCAGCAGCGCGCGCGCGCACACACACACACACACACACGTACACACACACTCACACACACACACCCAAAGTGAAACAAAACAAAACAAAATAAGAAATTAAAATGTATCCAAGGCCAAACTGGTTTGAAGACCAAGTCTTCCAAAGGCAAGTATTACACTTAAAAGAATGCATGTGGTTCTTCAACAACTTTTTAAAACGTGAGTCCTTCTGAGCAGTGCATAAGCATTGGGAATAACAGGATGTAGGTCAGATCCACCCGGGCTGCTGCAGCCTGTGGTTCTAGGTTGGACGGCAATCTTCATACCTGCATGATTGGTCGAGTCCAAGTTGTGGTTCGATTGTTATGATTGACATAGTATGTACGTCCCTTAGCATCTTTTCTTTCTTCCCAGCCTGAAGGTAGGCCCGGCGTGGTATGTACATAGGCCACTGATGGCTGTTTGTGCAAGAAATCATTATTATTTAACAACTAGCATTGTTTCCTGATTAGCTTAAAAAAGTTACATACACCTAGATAATTATAATTTACGGACAAAGTAGGTTACAGAAAACATTTCAACGAGTATCTCAAAGACACCAATAGAGCTCCAGGAGCTTCAACTCTACTAAGATGAATTTCACAGCTGCAGGACCCACATTCTTAACTCACCTCTCAGACCCTGAGCTCTTAAACAGAGTCATTGTTAAGGTGACGGGAAGGAGAGAGAAAAATATGACAATCTGTTCTAACATATGACAATCTGTTACTAAATGTCATTACCAAACCATGTAGAGCTGAAAGGTATTTCAAATTGCAATGTTGCTGTCCATGAGGAAAATCTCTGGATACTTTTCTTTCATCAAACCACAGAGATGCTTCTCTAGTTTGGTCCTATATTCTTCCATCAACTCAGGGGCCCCATACACAGCAGCTCTTACGGCGAAATAAAAACCAAACCAAAAGTTCCTCTACGTTGGCGCTATCACTCCCAAAGTAACACAGAACCCTGAGGAGCCCCGGCAGGTCTGTGTGCCCCAGCCTGGCTACCTGATGAGAAGTCCCATAGAGCCTTGCAGCTTAGCCCAGGCTAGGGATACAGAGTCCATCTGTGAGGTGGCCTAACAAACCACATGTGGTTTGGAGGAAGAATTCCTAAGATACTTTTGCTTGTAAGAAGTAGTTTGAGAAATACAGCACAGATGGAGAAAGGCAGGGCCAACAAGGATGGGTCATGAGGTGAGGAGATGCACAGAGCCAGGCTCCTGGGAGACTGTGAAAGGAACGGGCACCCGGTTATTGAATATTGATGGGACTATTCAATAAGAGCAGAAACATTAGCTAACAAGCGCCCAGGTGGGACTCTGCTGCTCTGCCCTCCCTGAGCCCCAGGTGTCCTAGCAGGCATACTCTCTCTGGATCAGACTTAGGCTGCACAGCTCTTACCCAACTGCTTCCTCTTGTATCCCACCTTTTCTGGTCACTATTACCAATGTGCCTTGATAGAGAACGTTTCAGGCCAGAGCCGTTTGGTGGATCTGAGGAAAGCTTGCATAAGTTTGCTACAAGGAGATTATATTCAAAAAAGCATCTAAGGAGGCTCTGGAGTCTGCTTCACAAGCTTAACATCACACTCCAAAGAAAAATTAACATCATAATTATCTGGGAAGCCACTGACTCACTGGTGAGTTCTAAACCATGTTTACCAAGCAAGGGAAGATTATCTGTAAGATACTTTGATACCTTTCGGCTAAAAACATTGTGACTGTTTTCTTGACATTTTCCCAGATAAGTCCTAAGGGTGCTCCCCAGAAAATTCCAGAACTGACCCCAAGGCCTCCTGAATCTGGGAAGATTCAATAAAAGCAGAAACGCTAGCTGGCAGCCTCCATCCCTTCACAACCACAGAGTCAGATGGATTAGTGAACAGCCTGAACAAGCTCTTCCTCCTTTACAGCACCAATACAAAGGTCTGCCTTCAAGCTACCTCTACCTGAACACCTACGCTGACCAACCGCATGAGCGACCTGAGCCAGAACCTGCGTCAGCTGTCTGTCAGCATTTGTGACAAAGGATGTGCTATGGTTTGACCTACTATGGCTTAGTCAAAAATGTTCTGATTCAGTGGAATACTAAGTGGATTTATTACTTTTATTCCTCCTTGCTGAGTTATTTTGTGGGGAAAGGCAATTTGATATGCTCTCAGGATACCCAGTTCCAGAAACCTCAAGATTATTTTTATAGTTACTGCATCCATGAAAAGGATATTTATGAGGCAACTGGTAAGTTAAAATAACTCAGCTGTGCTATGGCCAGTCTCAGAATTCAGTTCTAAGCTGTGAGGACTCCCAGCAACCAGGTTACTTTCACATATCTGCAGTTAATAGATCTAATAGATTTATGGAAAATTAGAACTGCAGCAGAGAGAACACTGAATTTGATTAAAATGTTCATTCTTTCTTCTATAGAGAATTGAACCAGCAACCTGTAATTTAGCTGTATTTATGCAAGATGGTATTATTAAAATGTTCCTGTACAGCATCCTCTCCAAATGAGCATGTAGAACAACCTGTGCCAAGGATGCCATTTGTGACTCACAAAACTGCCTCCCACTGCACATGGCCAGAGAGCAGCAGGCCTTGAGTTCCACACAGAGCGCGTCCTGGGCTGAGTCGGTCTTCTATTGCTGCGTGCATACCACCGTGCCCTGGTCACTGCAAGACACAGCTAGGCAATGAAAAACCAAACCAAAACTTGTTGGGCTGGCGAGGTAGCTCAGCAGCCTGCAGTGAGACTCTGTACCAAAAACATTAGAAAAAAAGAAGGATCCAAACTAAAGCTTGTTGGTTAGCTTAATATTCTATAGATTTTTCTCTGTAGACCAAATACACTATACTGTGCCTTACAATGTCAAATAGTCATTAACTATAACTTTATGATGGTTGTTGCTTTCATTAAAATGAAGAACTCAAGCATGTTTAAACTGAAAAGACTTCAATATGATTTTATAAAAAACACTTTAACAGAGACAATCACAGACTCTAAGACTTGCTCAAACTCTGTCATGGCGGTACCTTAATATATTTTTAGAATTCACAAAACAAAGATCAAAGGGCCTGTGTTGTCCCTCTCCTGATAGCACAGAGGGCGGGCTCTGGCTTAGCCTGCCTGAAAATGACACCAGTGTATTTACTTGCTATAAATCACAGCTGTGGTTCCTCAGGAGAGAACTGGGCCTCACACTGTCCTAAAGGAAAAGCACAATATGGAAAGACACACTAGGATGGTTCCTGCAACCCCGTGTGTAATTTATGTAATAAATTACATAAATTGTGGTGCGTTCACATCACTATTAAATACTAATAAGTCCCAGAAGAATGGATACAAGTTTTTTTTTTTTTTTACAAGTTTAAAAAAAAGTCAATTTACTAAACATTATGTATACAACATGCTGTTTTAAAAACATAAAACAACATATGTGCCTTGAGCACAAAGGAGCCCTGAACAAAACAGAAGCAGGAACGAGCCGGCCTACCACAGGGCACCCCACCCTACGGACACATTCTGTGTGGGGTGATGGGAAGCAGCGCTGGAGAGTGAGTCAGAGAGAAGCAACAAACAAACAAACAAATAGAAAATACAGAGAAGGTAAAACTGGCAAAGAGAAAGCCCAGGGAAGAGAAGGTAAGGATCAATTGCGTGGGAGGGAAAGAAAGATAATCCTTCCACAGCTACGTAGGTACTGAGAAACCACAAGGTGAGAGTGGGTGAAATCCTTAGAAACTACTGTGGCTAAGTCTTTCAGAATCAAAAACCAAACCCCGCCTATAATTTCACTCTTTGGTGTGGGAAAGGAAAGCATGGGGAAGAAGAAAAGGAGTCTCCACAGTTCCCGAGCCAGATGGGTCTCACTCAGATGGGGCACCCTGTTCTGCCAGTGGCTCTTGCCGTGGAGGCTGGCACTACACTGATGGAGATTAATCTGTCATTTCCGATCACCAGCTATTAGTGTTCTCAAGTTAAAAGCAGGTTGTTTGGCTAACAAAGTACAAAACTGGTTGATACATAAAAGGATGTTCATCAGCATAGAGGAATAATAAAATCATCTCATGAAAAGATCTTTTTATTTTCCAGCTTGCTTCATTATTACCACGGAAATTACTGGCAGCAGTAGGAATAAGCTAGTTCATGTAGAAGTCTTTGAATTCTACTGAAGGCTAAGCCTGGCTCATCCTGTATACAGCAGGTCGTTCACAAAAACCACAGCATCTCAATACCTTCAATTGCACTGATTGCCAATTTGATTTTTCTTTATACAAAGCTAGGCACTAAATTCTGACACTGTATCTAAATTATTCCTTTACATCATCAACATCCTTCAGAAAATCAGCTATTGTATGTGCAGTTAACTCTATTCACAAAGTAATAAGCAGTTACAGTAAAAGCAACAAAAGTGAAACAATAAGGAAAATTCTTCAATTAGCTGTTGTACTCCAAGCATATACTAGGCTCACCTGATTTCAGGGATCAAGGAGAACACACAGAATACAGAGCCAAAGCTAAGTTACCCATAAATATGAATACTATAAATTATACAACACATCAAACAGAAGAGTAACTGATACTTGGCTTAAGTATTTTTCTGGGCCATTTAAACATTTTAATTATGCTTCCTCATGTTAGCCATTGTTCTAGCACATATCCATTCCTGGGAGTCAAGCGCCTGGTGGGAGAGAAAGGTCACTGGTTCATGCAGAGACACAGAGAAAGTCTAGTCTCCTGTTAAAAAAAATGTGGTATGGGAGACCAAGAGGACAGTCCAACATGGGGCTCAAGCTAGACTCTCATCCTGTGGTTTTGCTGGTTAGCCTCCAACTGTGGCATTTAAACCAAGTATCCGAACAACAAGGAAATGCTTACAGAAGGACAAAATGCTAAAAGGTAAACCTGTATTCTAAATGATCAAATTCAACACACTTAACCAAAGCATGATGCTATTCCAAATAAATCTATATGGTACTAAAAATTATTTCATTTTACTTGGTGCCTTACAACAATCTGAAAATAAGTTTAAGACAGTAAATAGGTGCCCCTCGGTAGTACAAAGAAGCCAACCTTAATTTCAAGAAGGGAGAGAGTGGATTCAGCATTAATCAAGACATTACACCACCCCACCGATCTTTGCCTTTAATGTCTGATAAAACATGTCATTACCGTTGGCTCCTCACCACCTGTGACAGTTGATGACCGCGCTCTCCTAGTTGGGGTACTGGGCTGTTAAATGATAACTGATGTCAGTGATACGTATCAAGGGGTGAACCCACGGCTGAGTGAATCAGGAATCATGGCTGTGGCAGCACCGGATGGCAGCAACATGAGATCATAATCCCCGGCATTTGGTGCAGACAAAGATGAGCAGGCATGGGTCACCAGAGGCCCAAGAGAGACGGGGTCCCCCACCTGTCAGCATGCTGCCCCAGTGAGGGCTATGCCCTTTATGCGGGTGAATAACAACACCCTCACCACAGTGAGACATCTTATGAGACAAAAATGGGAAGCCAGTTAGCTTTGCCCCCACTGTCCAAGAACAGCATATTCATAAAGCTGACAAAACTCAGTAAAAGGCCACTGGTGACCCATGAGCTCAGAGCATGGTACGGTAGCAGAGCAGAGGGAGGAATCACCACTTGTATGAAAATTAGCTATTAGGCAAAGAAAATGAACAATGATTTTGAAAAGGAAAGGAAGTGCCCTTAATTCATCAAGGCAATCGCAGTATCATTAGGCTCAGGAGGGATCCAGCCATTCATTGTCAGCGCTCCTGCATGGCGGCCGGCCTGCGCTGACCCCTCCCAGGAAAGACAGTCTCTTCAAGCTTACTGCTAACTACTCCGCTCTGTGCAGATCATACCTGACCCACTACCTGACTGGTACTCTCATTCATTCATTTTGAAACATGATAAACTAAAACATTGGCAAAAATACCCTTTAAAGCCAGGTAAAAATGTAAAGGACCAGAAAATTGGTCCTGGTTTCCAAGACTTTTTTTATTTTTATTTATTTATTTTTTTTGTGGAACTGGGGATTGAACTCAGGCCCTTGTATTTGCCAGGCCCTTCTGAGCCATCTCCCCAGCCCCTCAAAGACTTTAAGTGCACTCTTCCCACCCCTAAATTCATACACAATAATGTGAAAAAATAATTAGTATTTGTAGCAATAAAAAAAAAAAAAACCAAACTAGTCAAAGTTAAATATAAACTTGAACAGGCACACCAAACATTTCCCAAGGCCGTGCCGCTGCGCTTTCTAATATGAATGTTCATTTTTATATACACTGGATATTATTAAACCTTCTGCCACTTTTGTATCTGCCGATAGTTATCACAACTGTGGGAGAGTGAGAATAAATTATAGCCAATTCTTTACTTGTAGAGCTGCCTTTAAAGAGAGAGAGAGTGCAGCAGCTTTGTGGAGCTGAGAATTTAGGCTGCTGGTAGTAGAAAGGGGCATGAGGCTGTGTGCCAAGAATTCTTCCTGCTTTCAAGGACCAGTGAGATTTCAGAGTCCAGCTCTCTGGAGCACAGCTCCAGTGACTCTACGAAGTACAAGAATTATAAATGTCCAAGTGGTTTCAGGCAAATAAGGTCCAAATTTGGGTGAAAAACTAAGGCAGTGAGGTGTTCAGCATTTCAGAGACTTGGTCGCAGTAACAACTCTGTCTTGAAAACCTACGCTCCTTGAGCAATTTGCTAGGAAATTTTTTAAAGGTCTCATTTATTTGTTAAATAGATGTATGCAGGAAAAACTCTTCTTAGAAGCCCCGACGATTTCACATCAAAGCTAAAAAGCCAGCTGATAATTGGATATGAACATGGGTTACCGGTGGTAGGTGGGCTTGCTCTGCGACCGTGTCGGTGACACTGCAGGACCGTAACCTGGAGGAGGGTTCTCTCTGCTGGAGGGAAAGAAAAGACAGCAGGTGTCAAGGGGCACATTCCTAGAGTCTCACTGGTTTAATAAAAAAAGCATCACATAATCCTATGCACTACTTTTATTTTTAAAGTATTGGTGGTTGAACCCCAAATTTTCATACTGAACTGTGTCTAGTCTAGTCCTCTTTTAGTATTCTTTTTGAGACAAGGTCTCAAACTCACAATCTTTCTGCCTCAGCCTCCTATAGTGCTGAGATGACAGGTGTGTACCACAAGGCCCAGCTCTATGAGCTATTTCTGATGTTAGAAGGTAATTAAATGAATGACTTTTTTCAGAGCAATGAGAGTCAAGCTATCCTTTGTTTCAATTTGCAGTACTTTCACCAGGCTAGGATTTTTTTTTTTTTTAATTTTGTTTGTTTATTTGTGTGTGTGTGTGTGTGTGCGTGTGGCCAGCTCAGCCCACCAGGGGGGCGGGCTGGCTGGCATGTGGTGCTGGGGGATTGAACCGTGGTCCCTGGGCTTTGCTAAAGCTTGTTCTAAGTAGGTGCTTTAGACCACTGAGCCATCTCACCAGCCCAGGCTAGGATTTTGAATGGATCTTAGAATTAGCAACAAAAAGAAGAGGCTAGGTGCAACGATGCACACCTGAATATGGGTACTTTTGAGAGGCTGAGGCAGGGGTCACAAATTTGAGCCATACCTTTGAGGCCCCATCTTAAAATATAACAAAAGGGGTGGGGATCCAGCTCAGTGAAAGGGCCCTGAGTCAAATCCATAGTACTGGAAAATAATGGGGGTGGTGGGGAGGGATGGGGATGGGGACCGGAACTCCTGACAAGACAATTGGGCAAGCCTCATTCAAAAGCTACTTTCCTACCACCAATCAGAAGCGAGCAGTCTTCTATTCTGTTTATGAAGTCAGCTCTAAGGCCTTTTTTTTTTTTTGGTGGAACTGGGGACTGAACTCAGGCCCTTGCACTTGCCATGTAAGTACTTATTCTACTGAGCCATCTCCCTGGCCCTGGATATTTCAACATGATCAGAATAGAGAAAAAAGCAAGAACAGTGATATCTATCTATCTATCTATCTATCTATCTATCTATCTATCTATCTTTTCAGCACTTATTGATTACCACGGTTGATAAAGAATTAGTTGGATTCTATCTCTAACAAAATTCAGAAATCATCCTGCACTACTTCCGAAAGGGGGTGTTTATAAAGCTCCTGAGTGGAGTTGATATAGCATAGAAAAAGAATGAAAATAGTGAGGCTCATCTAAAAACAGACAAGTGTGCAATGTACACTATGTCTCTCACTTGTTGGTATTCTATGTGACAGAACAGATCTGAGCAGAAATCCCAGACAGAAGTTAGAGGTCTCCCAATTAACAGGCTGATGCATGTTGTAAGTAGTGTGGTGTGTGTACTAGTACACAGTTTTTAACAATCTGCAGTAACAAGTAAAATGAGATCATGTCTGAGAACAACTCTGCAGTGAGGATGGGAACCTACTCATGGGCAATTCTGGGTCCACACTACTGTCCTTGAATACAGAGTGCCCTAAGCAGCAAAACTGGAGCAGGGTTCCCTAGCCATTTTAACAGTTAACACAATCTGGAAAATAATACAGTACATGCACTTGGGCCTTAGGGATATTTTATGCTTTTGGAGTAATTAAATGCAATAGCTCCCTGTGCAAATAGCTAGAACTATTAATTTAATATTAATGCCGATGAAAATTACACTTTTTTTTCACTTGGTTGACTAAAGCTATATAATTGCCATGGTGCCTGTGATTCTTTTATAATTTTGAAATATATGGCTTCATTGCTTATATTGTTTCCATAGCAACAATTTTACCAATGCAAATCAGCTCATACATGCAACCTCTTTTCTTATACATTTATTATAAAATTTTCATTTCAGTGCCATTTTCTTTTTCAAAAAATTCATAGAATTTTAATGTGAAACCACATTAACAAGTAATCTGAGTCACTCACATTACACAGACCCATCAACTCTTTTAAAATGAAAACACCACACCAAAGGAACAATTTTTTGAGTATAGTACTTACTTGGCTTGTATATTTTATGTAGTCCTATCATTTATATTCAAATGCTCATCATGCCTACTAGTTCTATGACACCTGTTCCAGCGGAGAGACTGCCATCATTTATAACACTATGATTTTTAAGTTCAGTTCTCAAGCAACACTGCTATGCATTCGCTCTTAATTCTACAGAGTGCTGGAATGAGTTACGGTCCTTTTCCTGCAGTTTTTGTACTGTCAAATGCAAAGCTCTTCATGAGTGATTCCACTGCTTCTCACTGGGGCTTCGTCCCAGTTGAAGCCTCCAGAAAGTCCATCTCCGATGGCTGAAAACCTCAGTGTTCAAAAACCAATGCTACTTTGATGTCAGTGTCACAATTTTACACCTTTTCTCAAGGACTCACACTGTGGCCCTCAGCAGGTGTCAAACCCTAGTCTTGGAGGGGCGACCTAAGGACCTGCCCTTATTGCCAGGGCAATGAGAAATCAAGACGGTCAGCAGCCTGGGCTAATTTTAATATGCTTCTGTTTTTGCTAGAGGAGGGGGGGAACTTCAGCAAATGTGAGCTTGCTAGATAGCCTTGGCTGTTATTTGTACACAAAAATCTCAAGAAACAAGAGACTACTGTTTAACTTTTCTTTCAAGCAAGATCACCACTTACAATCAGAGAAGTGAACTGTTCCCCGTTGGAGTCTGGAGTGATCTGAAGCCTTCTACTCAGCTCCTCTGACAGCTCCTGAGGGCTGGTCCGAGATACCGGGGAGGCTGGCGGTGGAGGCAGGGCCAGGGCCAGGGAGTCTCCAGCCAGGTTGACTTCCTCTGAAATGGTCTCCCAAGGCTTGCAAGGATAGAAACACTGAAGTAAATGCTAGTCAGTGGGGATCCTCCCATCCTCCCCCCAAGGAAACAGATAATAATCCCCATAAGGATGACTGTAATTAGCATCCAGTCAACATTTACCATGAGGTACACAATCTTTGTGGTAATCATGAGGAAGAGATATGACCACTGTCCCAATTAAGAGATGAGGAAACTGAGGCATAGAAATTAACTTGCCCAAGGTCAGAGAGCTACTGGTGGCAGGGCTGTGCCATGAACCTAAGAGGCTGGGACCTGAGGCTGTGTTTTTCATCCCTTATTGCCAGCATTTGTTATTAATGTTTGGCTTAAAGCAATCTTCTCAGGAATTTAAAAATGATTTTCACAGGCTTCCTTTTACTTTGACTGCTAAGGATTTATAGTGAAAAAAGTACAAATACTAAGGTGTAATTACACACTAAAATTTTAAGTTTTAGTGGGCTATGGAATCATTAATTTTGTTTTCTAATTTTGATCACTCCACATTTTGTGGATGACCTTCCTCACACAATGTCTAAAAAGAACTGAACCAGTGAGTCCATGGAGTTCTAAGGACAGTACAGAATATCAGTGTTGGTTTAATTCATTCTTTTTCAGTAATGTGCCATAACCATTTAAAGGGGAAATTACAAACATTTGTATTTTGGGTCATAAATCTTTTTCAATACATCAGTAAAAACTGAGTAAAAACTTGCCTATGAAACATAAACAAGTTAGAAAGCTTATTCAGTTGCTCAAATATGATATTGTTGCTTAATAAGATACGGCTATTTTAATTTGCATTTCCTGAATGAGCAGTGACGTTGAATACTTTCTCATTTATTTATTTATTTGCCACTTGTATTTCTTCATTGAGAAGTTTTTAGTTATTTTAGATGCCCGTTTGGAATTAGGTCTTTAAATATGGGGGGGGGGGTGGTTTCTAATTTTTTTTTTAGTTCTTTATAGATGCCAGATAGTAATCCTTTGTCTGAGACACAGCTGCTAAAATTATTTTCCCACTCTGCAGGTTATCTCTTCATTCTGCAAATTGAAACAATGCTGAGATTCCATCTCACCCCAGAAAGTAGGGCTATTATCAAGAAAAGCAATAACAAATGCTGGTGGTAGTGTGGGGAAAAAGAAAGGACCCTTCTCCACTGCTGGTGGGAGTGTAGATTGGTACAACCACTGTAGAAATCAGTGTGCCAATTGTTGAAAAAACTAGGACTAGAGGTTCCATTTGACCTAGCTCTACCCATTCTTGGGATCTTCCCAAAACAATTAAAAGCATCATATCACAGTGAAATATGCGCCCCCATGGTTGGTTTGTTTTGTACATCCATGTTTATACCGGCACAGTGTGTAATAGCTAAACCTTGGAAACAGCCCAAATTCATACCAACTGGTGAACTGATGAAAAAAAGATGTGTTCTTTATACAATGGAGGACTTCCCTGCCATAATGAAGGCTAAGCTTGCGACACTTCTAGGTAAATGGATGCACCTTGAGGCCATATTCTGAAGTGAAATAAATCACACATATGTAAATTCTGCATTTTCTCTGGTTTGAGAAACCAAAAGTGTAAGTAAGACCAACATGTATAATAGGTGTAGTGGAAAAGAAAAGAAACATTCATATGGGGGGGGGGAACAAGACAGGGAGATGGGGAAAGAATGAAAAGTAAAACAAAACAAAAAAGGAAGAAATGGAAACAAAGTTTTTGTAAAATGTAGAGGCGGAGTTGAAGGGAGAGTAAGGGAATGGGGAAAAAAGAACCAAATTATATCATGTATGGGTACAAACCGTCTATGATGAATGCAATCATTACATATACCTAAATTGTACCAGTAAAACTGGATTGTAAAAAAAAAAAATTCTGAATAGCTGTATATGATGGTGGTGGGGTGGGGTGATATACTTAGATACCCAGGAAAAATAAATTACAAAGTGAAAATGTCTCAAGCTTTTTTTTTACTAGTGATCATGCTAACCCCTTTTGCAATAATAAAAGGCCTCTGTACCTGTCAAATATGGCTTTGATAAGTACTTTCTAAATTAATTAACACCCACCCAGTAATCAATTAGCTATAAGACCACGATCTTAACATTCTGGGCAAGTGTTCCTGAGAAATGAAATTGCAATGCGAAAACCCTGTAGGCCAGAGTCTGGAGGAGCTCTGCGTGGAAAGGGGCACTGGGGACTGTACCTCGGGGCCCTCTCCGCCTTCCGGGGCCTCTGGCTCCAAGTCCTCGCTGATGTGTCTGCGGGAGCGGAAGCGCCTGTGTGCAGCCTCCTGGTTGATCTGCCTGATGTTGTTGTCTGACTCGGAAGACACATCCCTGAGGGCCGGGAGAGGGGTGCAAGCAGAGGAGCAGCAGTCAGTACCAGGCTGCGGCCGCCCAGCCCTCCCTTAGCTGATCAGCAAATCCCAGCACTGTCTGCACCGGGCTCTCAGGCCCACACAGCGCTCCCGCTGGACGCACGGGGACTAGCTCCAGGCTCCAGGCTTCCCGCCCTCCTCACAGATGCGCAAGCCTGGCATAAAAGGTCAGTGCTTGGCAGGATTCCCTATGAAACCCAACATAATGTAGATGCGATATGAAAAACTGTTATATATTGTCATTATGATTATTATTGGTATTGGAAATCGAACCCAGGACCTCCTGCTTGCTAGACATGCGCTGTGCTGATAAGCTATATCCCTGGGCCCACACTGCCTTTTGGAGACTAATGTTAAGATCAAAGAGTGTAGGTTCAGTATAGTGGTAATTTATTTAAAGAATCCAGCAATAACAACAACAACAAAAAAGCCATAGCTGTCATAATCAATTGATCAAAGACTACAAATCATGCAACTTCAAGATTGCAGTGTAGAAGACAGCACTCCTGAACCACTGTGATTTTTCTCAACTGCTTTCTATCTCATTTTGACGAGACCTCAGAATTAAAAGTCCAAATAAGCCCTAGGAGTGAACTTCCCCCAGCCACCTGGTATTTGACAAAACATGACATTCTCAACTCAGGATCTGAGTACATCAACTCAATCTTGAAAACATTCTGCAGTGTATTCCAGATTACCACACTATAGGGGAAACAGGCATTCGGGGTGGAAGCGGAAATGCCACATTTTTTAGGTCACTTCTAAGCAACAGTTCCAAACGCTTTTAATAGAGCTCCATGTTCAGTTAGAGGAAATTACATTGCAAGTTAATATTTTCAAATAGTTGAAGTTATCTTAGACAAGTAAAATACAGTATGCATCAGGATCCCTAACTATAGATTCTTTCTCAAAGTTTTAAAATTTCTAATATAATCTCTAACTTACACTACGTCCCAAATAAACAAACTTGCTTAATTGAATGTAACAGGGTAGCTCATTACAGACTAGTTGCTTAACTGAATGAAAAGGACTCCCTCTATGACACTGTCACCACCAAAGTCCAGGTAAGCCCAAGGAGCCTAAGATTATGTGCAAGTAAGTGGTTGACTATTGGACTCTAACTATTTAGTTAAATATTCCAATTGAATATTCTTTACACTATTAACTTTCCTGGTAAAGGGGGTAGTGTGAAGATCAGGTTCTATTTAATCCACATTTAGATTATTATTCCTTCTTATTAAAGTTTGAATTGATGAAGTTATTGTATTTGTACAATCAAACTTTCATATCCTTAAAATGTATACACTACATGTTTTACCTATAGTAAATATGATTAGAGTACAATTGTACACTAGTGACATCTTCAGAAAACTGATTAATATGAGCATAGATGAACATAAGGTGTATCAATAAGTTTTCTTCTTCTTCTTTTTTTTTTTTTTTTTTTCCAGAACTGGGGATTGAACTCAGGCCCTTGTGCTTGCCAGGCAAATGCTTATTCTACTAAGCCATCTCCCTGGCCCCCGATAAATCTTCTTAAAGTTCAAAATCAGAACGACTAAAAATGATAGTGTTGATTATGTTAGATGGCATATTTGTGATCTCATGTTTCTGCAGTAATTTTTATGACATTTGAATTATAAGTACACAATGATTATACACTATAAACAATTATTATACAACAATGACAAAAAAACCTGGAAGGAAAGTGACCAGAATAGTCTTATAACATATGTAAATCACTTCAGTAGTGCAAGATGGCAAAGGAAGCTACATGGCTCCGTCTTTCTTTTTTTATTAAGGATGAAAGCAGTTTCACTTGACAATACTTCAGATCTCAGAGTTTTATGAAAGTGCTAAATCTTCCTTGAAATGCCAGTTGTGGCGACCCCCCAGTCACAGTGAGGAACACCCTGTATACTGCTGCATGTGCCAGGACCTGTAGGGCAAGTGCACACTGAATTATTACAAGTACAGAGACTCTGAGAAGTAGAGAGAGAAGATTTTAAGGGCTGGTCAAATAGCTCAGTGGATTAAAGCGCCTGCAAGCAGGCACAGGGGCCGGGGGTTCGATCCCCAGGTCTGCCTTGCTGGCCCCACTCCTGGGGCACACTGAGAAGGCAATTGAGACTGCGTGTGGTGGCCCGCACCTGTAATCCCAGCTCTTGGGAGGCTGTAAACAAACAGGCAGATCACTACAAGTCCGATCTAGTAGTGAGACCCTGAACACCCTGTAGATCCTTCCCTAAAATACAAAAAAAAAAAAAAAAAAAACAAGATTTTAATACTACATCTACATCTCACATTCTTCCGAAGTGCACAAAAGTCCTAACTGCAGGACTTTTTAAAAATCAGAAGTGGGTTTAAAATCAATTATGTCCGTTTTCCTCATCCAACAGGCTCATATAACCAGCAAGCAGGGTGAAGCACAAACAGCTGAACCATTTCAGAAGCAAAGCAACTCAGGTTGTGAAATTCTAACCAGGGACTTTCATGGTGACAGTGTTCCCAGAAGGGAGGCCCTTTTCATTCCATTAAGCAGATGTGAAGGCTGCTGAAGGGCACTAAACATTTAAATGGCCACTAATAGGAAGACAACCACTTATAATTATTTCTGACCTGATAAACTGAAATAAAAAATGATTGGTTTGTGGGCAACAAAATAATTTAAGAAATGGTCATCAATTTTTCTTCAGTCATTAGTTTTGTGTATAGAGTCTGCATTTGACTTTCAAGAGAAGGAATACAAATGACAAGAGAACAGTCCAGCAAGCTGCCTAGAAATCGAGGTCGGGGCCAACTGATATTAGTGCATTACATAATTTTCACTCCCTGTTCACTGCTGTGCTGTTCTGAAACACAGAGATGATTAAATTATCACTAATGTATATATAAAATATTTTGTAATAAAAGAATTAAAACAAGTCTTTCAGTTTAACTTTATTTTCACTTACAAAATGTCACAAGATAATTTGTTTACTGTTTAAAAAACTTTTTACACAGATAACTTGCAGTTTACATTTAAATAAGATTTAAAAAAAAATCTATGACCAGGAGTGTTTAAGAAGCCATCAGCAGGCCTGAACAGGCTGGTGTGAGCTCCAGGGTCATTGGTGCTAAAGATCTGCGTTGAGACCTACATTTGGCCTGGACAGTGAACCAAACCATGGCTTGAAACCATTTCCGTAAATGGCTCCTGTAGCCAAACGCTCATTTAAAAATGTATGTTGCTCAGCTTCTACTTTGTGCCAGGTAAAAGGCTAGATCTATGAATAAGGAAGAGGAGGCAGGCCAAGCAGGCAGGAGAAAGCTTTGTGCCCTGTGCCTCTTCTGGGCAAGCATAAGCCTTCTGCAAGGGCTGGACAGCAGAGGAAGGCTGGAAAGGAGTGTGCTTTAGACTCTGGGTTCTTGTCGGGTTGGGGTGCTACCCACAGGGCCCAGTAACAAGGGGAAAACAAGGAGAAAGCAGCCATGACAGGGCCTCCAGATGGCTTCCGGCAAGAGGCCTGAGTGAAGAAGACTGCAAAAGCAGCCAGAGAGCAAGGGAAAGGCAGACAAAACAAACCTGTTTTCTGTAGGTTCAAGTGTAGGGCACAAGTCTGTAGCAAGCTGGGCAAGAATTAAGAGTCACGACAGAGTCTTACATTCTTCGCTTAGCGCATGGTGAGCGCTATGATTTCCTCAGACACCCTGCCAACTGATCTATTTTCTAACAATATCATTTCCTTCTGAAGTATGATGAAGTATTCTGTGAAAACTGAACTTTGGAAAGAACCTACTTTTGAATTAAAACCATACTTAATCATAATTCTGGAGACCCAAGGGGTTTTGGCTAAGCAAAACAACATCAAAGAGAAAGTCCCCAAACTCATAAAAATGAAGAGGGAATGAGGTACCAGCATGGCCCCCATCTAACTTTTCTTCTGCTTTCTAGAAGCCACACCCTGCAGAGATGAGGGCTTTCTGACGTTCCATCGAGTTCTTCTGACGTCTTTCCTGGTTCAGCCTCTCCCTGAGAGTGTCTCACTGACAGGGACAGTCATGTTGCTGACTTGTTCCTAAACTACATGTGAGGCTGAACTTGTGTTATGAGCTGCTGTTTCCTTGTTGCTTTTAGATTCATAATGAGCCGGTACAGTATAAGGTGCGTCTTTTGCTTCTTGGTCCTTTGGGACACTGCCACCAATGGCAGTATTTTCAAAAAGACCTTTAATGGTCTGATTGACTAATAAGAAGTATTTATTTAGTGACCACACTTGGGGATAAGTACATAACTGTGAAACCACACAAAATCATAAAGACAGAACATTTAAAACAAATGAAGTTACCAGATATAAACATGCAAAATTGGTTTAAACAAAACCAAAAAAGTTATAAGAAATTAAAAAGAAAATAATAAAAAGAAAAAAAATTTAACTGCTCCTTTCAAAAAAACAGCAGAAATCAGCAGCACAATTATCCAAACTATCCTGCATATATACATAAATATATCTTTTTCCCTTCTTTCTTTTTTGGCAGAACCAGGGATTGAACTCAATTCATTGCTCCAGAGTCTACAGGCCTTATGTTCACGTTAAAAAAAAACCCAGTGCCACTGACTTGGCCACTTTGCCCATCCAGTCATATGTG